GTGTTCCAAAGTGTCAAGGTCTTTGTGTGGTAAAGAAACAAGAAACCTGGCCACCGCAGGGATTGATATAGGAATAGTGCTGACCTCCCTCTGAGTGGCCCTCTGAAATCCCCAGCTGCCTAGACATCTGTTCCTGTGGTCCTGAACTTGGCCATTTTTGCAAACACAAGTTCTAAAGTTTCTGGCGCCTGAGAGATTTCCTCCTAACACCTCACATATGTATCTACTATCTACATTGATATGTGGAGCCCACCACAGACCCCATACTGACTTCGCTGAAGGACTCATTCCCGGTAGTAATCCTTCCATCCGGTTAATTCTAGCAGATTTAGATTATTATCTTTATATATTGCTTTATATTCTGTATCACTTTACAGTAAAAAGAAAACATACTTGATTAACTGTACAGAGGAAAATAAATAAAAGGTACAATGACCCACCACATAGATTATTCTCATGTTCTTCTCTAGATACATTTAAAAGACCTTGTCAGAAATTGCAGGTAAAAACACAGACCGATCCCTGTAAATAGATCTGTGAATGGACGATGCAGCTGTGCGAGTGGAGTCACAGACAGGCATGCAATAATCAATAAGATGCAGGAAGAAGCACCCCGCACTTCAGGTAAGTGGCTTGATGGTGGGGGTTAGGTAATGTGACCTTGTTTCATGTTACAGCCTAAATACGGCTGTGGCATGAAATATGGTGCGAAAGGTGGACTATGCTTTTAAAATACAGTGATGACAAAGTGCAGTAGCCCATAGCAACTAAGCAGGCATTCTCTAGACGCATGTAAACTAAAATTGAGAAATTAAATCACTTACTGCGTGTTGGCACTGTTGGTTATGTGTTTAGATCCTTGGATCTCAACTGGGTGTTCGCGACCCAAAAGTGGGTCGCGACCCCGTGTTCAGTGGGTCGCCACATGCTTTCCACTTTTTTTTTAGGTGAGAGGCTCCTCTGCCTCTCCCTAGCGCAACACTGTTAGTTCTCGTGACAAGCAGCCATTCAAAATATGCTGCCCAGTGCCGAGTGTCAGCTTAAGGTGGGATGAGATGGGGCTTTGGCCGCGAGGGAGCTCCATCAATATGTGCATTTATTACAACTCCCTCACCTGTCCTGTATGCAATGCACACATGGATGGAGCTTTATAACAGTTCAACAGTTTGTGTCTGTGGTTGTGTATGTATGCCAATGTTTTTGAGGACCCATTCACACTAGCACAGTGCCTTAATCGCATAGTACCATGCGATTAACTCACTGTACCATGCAATCGTACTTACCATGCATTCTGGTGTGAGAGGTGTGTTGGGTTGCCATTCATTTGAATGGTTCCCCTAAACGCACCTCCCGCCCACAGCTCGTACGCCCACACTTGAACACGCGGTACCCTAATTCCGTGCATTCCGTTGCAGTGCGACTTGGGTCGCGTCATAATGACCAAAGACAAATGTGGGTCCTGAGGTTACACACGTTGAGAACCACTGGTTTAGATGAAGCACTGAGACCCCGAGAAATGCTAAATTAAGTTTGACTTGCTTAGAAGAACATTACATGTAAAAAATATGGCATTGTGAAGAAAAAACATAGAAAAAAGAAAACTTCCTTTGTATCATAGATGAGCATGCACTTAGAGACTAACATTGCACTACAGCGCCATCTACAGCTCAAAAGACATATTACAGTACATTAATATATGCTGTTGCATTTCCCTATAGGCACCACCCTCTACACTTTATCCCTGACCTTTACACTGCCTAAGGCCTTGTTCATACTTTGCTGTGTGCGGGTTGAGGCGCATTCACGTAATGCAGGAAAACGTGTGATGCGTGAAGTGGCACCATTATTTGTTAATGGCACCCAAACACAGCAGGCAAAATGCGCCTCTTTGCTCGTGTGTTGACATGTGACAACCCACACAGTCAACATTAACCTCTTGCCGTCCGCCCGTAGTAAAAAAACGGACGGACGGCACTGCAGCATCTGCGGGTTGCCGTCTCCAGACGGCAATTTTTTTCTGCACAGCTGGAATTTCTACATGAGCTTCTTTGCTGCATCTGTTGCGCATAGTGAGGCCATTGAAATGGATAGGATGCCCTGTGCTGATACGCGGCAAGAAGCACATAAACGCACTGCCTGTGTGAAGGGGCCTTACAATCTAAACTCAAGTAATTATTTGTTCTGCCTCCAATACTCAGTAATTAATGCATTCGGGAGCTAAAATTGCTTTCCTATTTAAAGCAGAACTTGAGGTAGGTATAAAAAATGTACTCCTGTTATGGGTTTATAAAAACTATTAAATATATTATAAATATAATCAGCGCAAGTACCAAAAAATTTCTAAAGCATATCTAAACCCAAAACCAACATTTTTATATATATCCTTTTAGCAGTCCTTGGGTGCGGTGGTTGCATTAGGTTCTTTTTTTCAGGCTAAGGACATTTTCAGCAAGTACAGTAAATACATGTTAATCTTGTAAGAAATGCTGTCTTTGTCACTTCCTGTGGGCTGAAAAGACAGCAAAAAACGCCACTTCGTTTGACCATAGGGAGCAAATAGAAATACCTGGTACTTCCAGGTATGGAGGATCATGTGACACACACCCCTTCCTCTCATGTGTCAGCATTGGTTATTTTTCTAGACAGTCCTCAGCCTCATAAGCCCTGACTAGATACTGTACTCGTACTCACCCAAATGCTCCGTTACTTACCTCCGATACTGGAACTTCCGGACAGAAAGAGGTTTTCCTCTGACCGGCAGTGCCGAGGGAGCATGGAACTGGCTTCCTTTCGCATCAGGAAGCCAGACAGCGGGTTATGACCTGCCTCCCAGCTTGCTAATTGGCTAGGACGCCGGCTTCACTTGTTGCTAGGCAGCATGGCTTCCTAACCAATCAGGAAGCCAGGCGGCACGTCATGTCCCACCTCCCAGCTTCCTGATTGGTCAGGAAGCCAAGGTGCCTAGCAACAAATGGAGCAGGCTTCCTGTCCAATCAGGAAGCCAGGAGGCGGGTCATGATGTGCCACCCGGCTTCCTGATTGGCGAGGAAGCTAACTTCACTTGTTGCTAGGAAGCCAGGCAATTTCGGGAAGTGAATCCGGTGTTCTTTCGATAGAACACCGGCTTCCTGGGCTATCAGTAAGCCAGCCAGCGGGTCATGATCCGCCGCCCAGCATCCTGATAATCGGGGCACACGGCACCGGTATCGGTACTTGGTATCAACGGTACTCATACTCGACACCCAAAAAACGGTATCTGTGCATCCCTATACTTTTTTTTAGAACTTTATTGAAATGTTACAAGTGACATTTCATTCATTTTGATGGGCACTGCAGGGTGAGAGGCGGTTGTACCGCGTCGCATCCCATTGCAATAAAATAAAAATACTGCATGCCGTACTTGGCCACATGTCTGTGACAAGGTAAATTGCCATGCCTTGCATTGAGCTGCTCTGGAAAAACGGACAGTGCATTGCCAACGCATTGGGTGTGAAAATGCCCTGAAGGAAGCAGTGGCATACTGAAAGGAAGCTGTGTACATTATGTGTGGTTGGGGAGGGGGTATCAAAGTGAACATGTTGGTTTGCCTGGTATGCACGAAGCATAGGCATCACTTCAACCATGATCAGTGACCTAAGATTCAGCTAAGCTGAATTGTCCTGCACATCCAACTCATGATTATGTCAGTTGTGCATCATGACAAATGATCCTTCCAAAACCTAGTGCATACAGGCAAAGATAAAAACAGAGTTTACTACATTTGGAAACTGCCATTGAAAGGCTGTACTATCAGCGGATACAATCTATAACATTTGCAGAGTGGTCATTATTATTATTATTATACAGGATTTATAGAGCGCCAACAGTGTGTGCAGCGCTTTACAATATAAGGAAGACTTTACAATTACATACAATTCAAGGAGGGCCCTGCCCCTAAGGGCTTACAATCTAAAAGGGAAGGGCCAGTGATACATGAGGAGGAGTGATCACAACCATCACGCCACTTATTCACGTGGTTTAAAAAAAAACTTCCAACTGCTCCACCACCCCTGGAAGTGTTATAGTTTGTCTCCGGTCCTTGTCACTCCCGTTGCTGCTGGACAACTTGGTCTGCATATAAATGTTGAAAACAGTATAAATAAAGGCATGAGAAATAATTTAAAAAAAAGCATTGTGTATCATAAACAATTGCTGTTATTTTTTTTTAGATAAAATACTTATTTTCACCTTTTTTTTTCACCCTTCATTGCATCTTAAATGATTGCCTGCAGTCACTTTCTGTCTGCATGCATGCAATCCTGCTACGGCTACGCAGAGCGGGTTTCCGGATGGTGACAACAGTGGACCATGTCTGCATAATGTGTGGCTATGTAGTCTCCATCAGATACCCTTGTGACAGTGTGAAAACACCAAAGCACAACTGGGAGATGGGGACAGAGCGTTGTCACCCTATAACAGGAAGTGCCTGGCTGAGAACCATCACGGCAGGATCACCAGGTACTATTTTAATGAAAGCTGCATATTTAAAAATTCTGAAAATGACTTTTGAAAATGAATGAACTCATAAAAGCTTATATGAGATTTTACATATACTTTATGCAAACTATTATTTTTGCAGGCAGTCCCTACACTGCTTATTATACATGTAACAAATATTTCATAAGGGTATAACTATGGTTTCTGTGCTACATTTCTCTGCCAGGTGCATTTGGTTATTTCTTTATTTTTAATGTGCACATTGATAATCTGTTATTATCTATAGCACTGTTGGGTGACATAAATGGCATAAGCTGTGTGCCCTGTTGATGGGCATTTATCCTGTGTCTGTGGGGTACCTTTAAGCCGATACTACTTCCTTATTATCTGCTCTGCTAGATGTCCTGCAATATATAAGACAAGGTTCCCATAGGATTTCGCCGTGAAGGGATTCAGTGAAAATGATGAATTCCCTCCCCTCCTCTCAGCCCCGGCAAGACACAATGCTGTACTATTTTTGGTTCGCATGGAAAGGGCCTCCCTTTGAAATCAGCAGGCTGTGCATTTTCTAAATGACATCACTTGGCATTCTGCTGCTGTGTGAGCTTGATATTTACATGGCAATGCATGTGTCCCTTGTTCTTGCTCCTTTTGCGAGGCAGCGGGACATTTCCCATCGCAGAGCACAGCTCTAGTCTTCTTACTGCCCCCTGCGCGCAAACACACTCTCACACATACACACACACACATACACACACTCACCGCTTTCTGATAAAGCTGCAGGTCTTTCGCTGCAAGCCAGTAGCTAAGGAGAAGAAGACAGCAAAAGGAGAAAAAGATCCTTGTATTGGCCTTAGAATAAAGCTCATTAGCTGCTGTTCATGGTTTGGGCTATCCGTCTTACTGGCTGCAGTCACCGAACACCTGGAGGATGGGGAATGGTAGAAGACCACCTAGAAGGATTGCCATCTTCCTTTGCATCTCCTTTGCTCTTTTGCTAATAAACAAGACGGAAGGGAGAAAACCAATCAAGTCAAAATGCCCAACCTGGTGTACTTGTACCAAAGACAATGCCTTATGTGAAAATGCCAAGACTATCCCTCGCACCTTCCTTCCTGACGTTATCTCACTGTAAGGGGCTGTAAGCATTTACTACTTCAGTGTATGAATGTATGAACGACTGTCAAGCCTTGGCTTACAGGTTAACATTACATGTATGCTGTGTTTGTACATTGCACACGCGAATGTCTTAGACGTGAATTTATTAGCTATATGTCTTCATTTACTATATGTATGGCTAAATCTTACAGCATGTATAGGCTGGAATTTCACCATAGCAATGGGCATGATCCTCGACTGTGTGTGTGTGTGTATCATATCAGGGCTTCGGGCAAGTTGGTAAGGGCAGTTGTGGCGGATGCTAGAGGTGAATGATCTAGAGGTCTCTTACTACCTGTCATTCTGAAAGATTTGCTCACCTATAGACAGCCTAACAAATTCTTCTTAAAAAAGCTGGCAAAGAGCAGTGGCGGTGTACAAAATAAAGTAACCTCTAGCAGCTAGCTTTAATCTTTCATTGGTTTAGAGGAGTCTTAACACTGGCAGGCGATTTGCTGATTGGTTGCCGCTGTTGATTACCGCACATCGCTCTTTACTGACTGTTGTATTTTATACATCTGACTAATTAAAGCACCAAATTAAGATAAAAAAATTTTTCTTTTTTGATTTTTTTTTCCATGCATTTGTCTCTTTCTTTTGCAGGTCCTTTGTGAGATCTGAATTTACAGAAATCCCAGAGGGAAGTTTTTTGCACATCCCGTCTCTGCAGCTGCTGTAAGCAAGCAAGCTTTATTCTTTACCATAGGGGGCTACATGTGTGTCTTCAAGCAGAATCTATTAGAGTGCATTGTCTGAATGAAGTCACCTGTGTAATATGCACTCTTGTCCTTCTAGAAAATGACACTGCTGCAAAGTGCCGGAGACCCTGACCGCTTGTATAATCACAGGCACATATAATTAAATTGAGTGCAGCAGCTACACAAGGCTCTGCAGCTCCCCTAGGCTGGTGAAGGAGGTGCTCTGATATTCACTGTACTGTATTAGCTGTTAGTAGTGGAATAGGCTGAGCAATGCAGCACTCAGATTTATATACATCTATGAGCACAGCTCTCTGCATCTTAATCTATCCTAGTAAAATGTATATACAGTAGAAGTTTGAGGAAGATTTGGTAGTGCATTTGCTATGATGTTTGTTTGAGATAGGGGTGCATTTGGTAATGACTTTGGGTGTATTTAAAGAGTCAATGTGCGTTAAACCAATGAGCATTTATTGTCATTGGTTTCAATGTCTGAGTCTGAGAGGTGTAACTCGGTCAATGTTTTCGCTACTCTTGTAAAAAGTGGTCAATTAGAGTGGACAAGCGCAATCTCATACCTGCAAGTAATGCAGCAGAAGTGGTTTGCTATGACAATAGGGAGACTGTTGGTCACTGTTGAGTTGACTGCATGTGCTCCCAACCATCAAAGTGGGTTGTTGTCACAGATTTCTCAGTGTATTGGAAAAATAATTGTGTGACCTGACTCAAAGTTTGCCGTTTCTGTGTAGAAATCATATTAAACCGTTCACTATGACCCTACTCCATCCAGATGGGGAGAAGCTTGTGCAAGGTCTCTGTAATGCAAACCAGGAGAATGTCCACCCATGTATGTTAGATGATTGTCACTTGACCCTTCAGATTGTCTGGGCATCAGCTGCCTGTTAGCTTCCATAGTTAGCGTCTTACACCTTTGATAAACCTTGAGGGAGAAGTCTCCTTGCTGAGTTCAATGTTCCCTGCCGTAGCTTTTCCCTGTCATGACATTTGAGGAGTTTGCAGTGCACACAAACTTGCACATTTGTACAATACTGTCATGCAGGATGATGTGCCTGTTGGCCTGACAAATCATAATATATTGGTTGCATTGGTTCTTGGGGTTCCACTGCCATCGGATGCAGTATGTATGGTCAGCTTCACTCTAAGCATGTGTGCTTTAATTTATGTGCTACTTTTGTACATTTCTGGCTAAATTCTTTGGGGGGAATTAATCAAAACTGGAGCAGACAGAATCTTAAGCAGTTGCCCATTGCAACCGATCAGCTTCTCTCTTCAGTTTTTAGCAATTGAATTACCTAATCAAAATATATCAGCCCTTTTCAGATTGATTATCTTTTTGTGTTTCCTGAGTAATCAGATTTGTATATACGTATGTTCTGCACATATCTCGTAATGTGGCGAATGTTATGAAGTTAAATCAAACTTGTACTCTGCCCTAAACTGAGCCCTTCTACACATAGAAGGCAGCATAAGATGTCAGATGGTAGCTGTATATAGATTGCCCCCTTATTCATCCAAATGTCAAATCCTAATAAAAAATCTCAACTACCAGAGTACAGGCAAGTAGGCACACCCCACCGCCTGTATTACCTATGGCAGGTGAAGAAGTCAGAACCCCTGAAGGGTGTGACATCACATAAGGACAAGTTAAAGCGTATTTCCACTTTTGTAGCCAAATTGGGAAAACACCTATTTTTTTATTTGTTACATGTTTCCCATTCACATAACATAACTTATAAATCATTATTTTAGTTTATAAGTTTAGTATACAGGATAAGTTTAGTATACAGAATACAGGTTACCTTTAAAGTGATGCTAAACTCAGGATTTAAATCTTAAAAATGCATTCAAGTACCTTAACTTCATCATTGAATCATCTCTGATTTTGTGCTGACATTGTCCTTCCTTCTGGAGGGGGGCTACTTTTGTTCCCTATGGTCCCTGTGTGTGCTGTAAAGTAGCCACCTCCCCAAGCTAGTTCCCGTGATGGACTACAATCTCATGTTTAGTTTACTAATTTGTATTATGATTGTAGTCCATCCCCGGGGGGGAGCTTGGAGCATTGGCTACTTTACAACACACACAGGGACCATAGGGAACAAAAGTAGCCCCCCTCCAGAAGGAAGGACAGTGTCAGCACCAATTCAGAGATGATTTGAGGATCTACAGCCGAGTGATACACAAATTAGATACATTTTTGTTAATAGTTAAGGTACTTGTATGTATTTTTAAGATTTAACTCCTAAGTTTAGTGTCACTTTAATGTTTGAGTTGTAATGTTTGCCTCCGTTATAAATATGTACACAGCCATAAACTGCAACCTATTTGGCTTTATGTAATAAAGTGGTGCAACTTGCAATATCAGATATTTGCTGATGAGATTTAAACTTAATTAACCTACCCCCCTAGGCTGCTGAGAGGTGATTTCTAATGATTCGTTATGGGTTAGTGCATGCCATTAGTCATTCTGCCGTGTTATTTACAACCCTTAAATTAAACCAGTGACACCACCTGTCACAATTTGTTTTAGATAATCCTTAAATGTCTATCTAAAGGGCATGTTTTACACTATTCTGGAAAAAAGTAGGAGGGTTAAAGGCGTTGTCAGTTTTTTGTTTTTTTTAATCATCATTATCTCATCAGGGAGTTTTTCTTTCACTTCCTGTCCTGTAAACTCAACAGGAAGTGAGAGGATATCTTTCCAATGTAAGGGAAATCCCCCTCTTAGTTGTCATGGGAACAGGGTTTCCCCTTTTGGATTTTACCCTCTCTTTCATTCCCGGTGACAGTGATCAGTACAGTGGAAGAGGGTGAATCTTCTTAATGGAGACCCAGACAGCAAAAAAAAAAGAAAAAGGTTTGCCTTTAGTTATACTTTAATTTCCTTCTTCCTTGCCCAGCTTTTAGTTCTGATCTTCTGATTAAACTGTAGCTTTCAGTTCTATTTTCACCAATGTTTTGTTAAAGTCAATCCCTGGAATTCATGAAGGGCGTTATTATTATTATAATTATACAGGATTTATATAGCGCCAACAGTTATAGCACCAACAGTTTGCGCAGCGCTTTACAATATAAGAAGACATTACAATCACAATACAATTCAAGACAAGATGGCAAGGAGGGCCCTGCCCGTGAGGGCTTACAATCTAAAAGGGAGGGGGAAGTGATACATGAGGAGGTAACTGTGTGGGGATGAATTGTTTGAAAAAGTGATAGTTCAGTGGTTTAGTTTGAGGTGGTATAGGCTTCCCTGAAGAGATGAGTCTTAAGGGATCGCCTAAAGGCAGTCAGAGTGGGAGATAGATGGACAGGTTGGGGTAAAGAGTTCCATAGGATGGGAGAGACTCTAGTGAAGTCCTGGAGGCGAGCATGGGAGGAGTTGATGAGGGAGCTGGAAAGCAGGAGGTCTTTTGAAGAGCGGAGGGGACAGTTAGGGTGATACTTTGAGACAAGGTTTGAGATATAGCCGGGGCAGAGTTGTGGATGGCTTTGTAAGTGGTTGTTAATATTCTTAATTTTATCCTTTGGGCTATTGGAAGCCAGTGCAGGGATTGGCCAAGGGGGCTGCAGACACTGAGCGGTTGGTTAGGTGAATGAGTCTAGCAGCTGCATAGATACTCTTTAGAAACGGTGGTAGTGCAATGGCAGAACTTGCAGCAGATACATGTACGTGTTTGTAAGGTGTATCTCTCCTGTGAAGTGGCAGAGAAGTTAATTGGAGCATTTGGGAGAGTAATGGGAGCGTATCGAGTATCAGTTCCAGAGGGACTTCATGGAAGATGTCTTCTATCCCCTTTCTTTATCCTCCATATAGAGGTATTTCTTCATGAATGTGTTGCAGCAATAGCACCACACAGTAGAAATGTTACAAATAAGAACAACATGAATTTGTTGTATACATGTGCATGCTAACAATGAAAATGTTGTGCGGGTTTTCATTAATTTGGTTCAAGGCTTCTGACAACATACACACCGCCAGAAATGTCTTATTGAATCACTCCCAATATGTATCCAGATAAAATTTAAACTCAAGCATTTAACTTTGTCTGTAGGCAGTGTCCTGGCAATGGTTAGCAATGGCGTGAGTGGAGCAAGGCTGGAGAACCCTTCAGTATTGAAGTACCTACAAGTCCCTGGGAGCTCTGCATGCCATATAGCATTATGTCTGGCCTAGTCTGAACTGTGCACAATAAAGGCAGCTGCCCTAGGACTGGCATAGATTAATCATGCATTGCAAAACCACAAAATGTATTACATGTCTTTACGAAAGGAGGCCAGTAGTTTTATTTGAATAGGATCTGACCCCCCTCCCAAAAGAGGGCACTTTGACACTCAAAAGTCCTCCATTTACAGAAAATACCATGCAACATTCAACAGGTCTCTATGTAGGTAAAGTACTATGTTAGTGTGGAGCCTGTAAGTGTTTAAAGGGGATTTTTTTTTTTGATGGCCCCTGTCGGGAATCTATTGCTGTAAGCGTCCATGCTAGGAAGATTAATGTCACGAGTTGTCACCAGAACAGGAATAAAATAAAGATTTCCCCACGGGGCCACATTTGTACCAGTGTCTTAAGGTGACCATACACTATACAATAAGGGTAGCCAAACTTCAGCCCTCCAGCTGCTGAGGAACTACAAGTCCCATAAGGCACAGCAATACTCTGACACCCACAGGCATGACTTCTAGAGGCAGATGCATGATGGGATGTGTAATTTCACCACAGCTGGAGGGCCGCAGTCTAACTACCCCGCTATACAATCTGATTTAGATCTACCATCCTGCCTGATTTAATATCAAATGATCGGATTGTTTAGGTCTGTCCTCATAGTACATAGTTTTGGTAAATCATAAGGAAATTGTACAATCAGATTTTATAGCGTACAGTCAGCCGAAGAGGGGATTTGCCTAATTTTGGAGAGATTTAGAGAGATTTCCACCCACTTCCTGCATGTCTACCGG